CTCCATTGCCATAGCTTTAGCTACAATGTCTCCCAAATCTTTATCTTCTTATATTTCTCTCTTAAGTACCAGGTTCATATTGCCAAGAACTTATTATGTATCTCTATCAGGGTGTTCTACAGACCACTTAGATGTAACACCTTCCCTTCCTGCCTTCAACAAATGACATGACATCGGGCAAAGGACTTGAACAGAAACTTTTCTAAAGAAGACAGAAGAATGGCTAACAAACATATGAAAAAATGCTCAACATCCCTAATCATCAGGGAAACGCAAATCAAAATCACAATGAGGTATCACTTAATTCCAGTGAGAATGGCCTTTATCAAAAAGTCTCCAAACAATAGATGCTGGCGTGGATGCAGAGAGAGAGGAACACTCCTACACTGCTGGTGGGACTGCAAACTAGTTCAACCTCTGTGGAAAGCAATATGGAGATACCTTAAAGCGATACAAGTGAATCTACCATTTGATCCAGCAATCCCATTGCTGGGCATCTACCCAAATGATCCAATGACACTCTACAAAAAAGACACCTGCACTCGAATGTTTATAGCAGCACAATTCATAATTGCAAGGCTGTGGAAACAGCCCAAGTGCCCATCAATCCAAGAATGGATTAATAAAATGTGGTATATGTATACCATGGAGTACTATTCAGCTCTAAGAAACAACGGTGATATAGCACATCTTATATTTTCCTGGTTAGAGCTGGAACCCATACTACTAAGTGAAGTATCCCAAGAATGGAAAAACAAACACCACATATACTCTCCAGCAAACTGGTATTAACTGAGTAGTACCTAAGTGGACACATAGGTACTACAGTAATAGGGTATTAGGGAGGGGGGCGGGGGGCAGGTATATACATACATAATGAGTGAGATGTGCACCATCTGGGGGATGGTCATGCCAGAGACTCAGACTTGGGGGGGGGGGGGGGCATTTATTGAAACCTTAAAATCTGTATCCCCATAATATGCCGAAATAAAAAAAAAAAAATGACATGACATCCTCCCAGTTGCTTGAGCCAAAAACTGGTTATTATCTTTTCCCTCACCCTCTCCTCTTTGTTGTAGTTAACTACCAAGTTCTATCTATTCTGACTTTTAAAAAACTTGCGCTTTTTTGAGTATCCATTGATGATAGGCACTATACTAGACACTTTTTATATATCATCTTATCTCCTAAATTCCTCTAAATCCAAATTGATTCATCTTTTTTATTCCCACAGCCATTTTCATACTTAGGTATTCAATAAATATTTGATAATGTGTTATTTTCTTTCTTCCTTTTTTTTTTTTTTTTTTGAGACAGAGTCTCACTTTGTTGCCCAGGATAGAGTGAGTGCCGTGGCGTCAGCCTAGCTCACAGCAACCTCAAACTCCTGGGCTCAAGCAATCCTTTTGCCTCAGCCTCCCGAGTAGCTGGGACTATAGGCATGCGCCACCATGCCCGGCTAATTTTTTCTATATATATTAGTTGGCCAATTAATTTCTTTCTATTTATAGTAGAGACGGGGTCTTGCTTTTTGCTCAGGTTGGTTTCAAACTCCTGACCTCGAGCAATCTGCCCACCTTGGCCTCCCAGAGTGCTAGGATTACAGGCATGAGCCACTATGCCCAGCCTATGTGTTATTTTTGGGCCTGAAGAGCCAGAAATGTGGGAATCTGGTTGGGCTCCTCCATTTCTTTCCTCCCTCAATCCTGATGGTAGTCATTAAGTCCTATTTGACTTCCTTGTGTCTATTATCCATTCTACTACCTACTACCACTTCAGTTGAAGCCTTCATAATTTCTTATCCAGTCTATTAGTATTTTTATTTGAGTGCATTCATTCTCACTCTATTCCATCTATTCTGTTCTTCTGCCCATAATCTTTCTCAAATATAAATTTAATCATGTCACAGTCCACCTTAATCAATTCCATCATCATCAAAATAAAGATTAAACTCTTTGACATAGCACTCCAGGAATGTCATTTGGTGCTTGTTCATAAAAATCATCTCTCTTTGCATATAACCTTCACTCCAGTTTACCAAATTATGTGTAATTACTGAAAATGCCAGACATTCTTAACCCCTCTGTGCCTTTTGATCTATCTGGGATAACCTCCTTCTCCCTAATCCCAACTCATCTTTTAAGACTGCTCAAACATCACCACTTTTAGAAGGCTTTCCTGATAGCCACTCTTACAGGCAATTGGTCAAACGATCCTTCCACCTCAGTCTCCTGAGTAGCTGGGACTACAGGCATACGCCACCATGCCTGGCTAATTTTTTCTATATATTTTTAGTTGGCCAATTAATTACTTTCTAATATTTAGTAGAGACAGGGTCTCACTCTTGCTCAGGCTGGTCTCGAACTCTTAACCTTTGAGCGATCTGCCCACCTTGGCCTCCCAGAGTGCTAGGATTACAGGTGTGAGCCACTATGGCCGGCCTATTACCTTCATTTTAAATGGGCAAATAATAACCACCTCTTTATCTATATTAATCTGCCCTGCAAAAAACTGGCTAATAGTACCAGTGGTAAGGGCTTGAAATTACTAAAAGTCCAAGTGTAGTGGTGCATGCCTGTAACCCCAGCTACTCAGGAGACTGAGGTGGGAGGATCGTTTGAGCACAGGAGTTCCAGAGTAGCCTGGCCAACATAGACCCCCATCTCAAATTAAAAAAAAAAAAAAAATTACTAAAAGTAACCCAGAAGATAAATTGCCACATTTGTTTGCTCTCCAAAAGAAAGGGCTGTACTTAATGTGTTAGTTGCTAATTGCTTTAAAGTGTTAACTAAACTGCTAAATCAACTTCTAAGTTAACACTGAAATATATTTGTTGATCTTTTATCTTCATTAATTGTTAATACATACTTTTTAGTGAATTTTTCAGATACTAAGTGGACTGTTTCAGCTATCTCTATAGTCCTTCAATGCTCTAAATTTCTTTAAAGACAAAGCATAAATCCAGTTGTGGTATACTTGTAGAATTCATCCTTACTGAGTGCTGTTCACTTCTCATGGTATTTCATTGCACCACAGAGCCAGCCATTCCCATGGTATTTCAAGAAAATTTCTATTAAAGAAAAAGTATTTATTTTGTGGAAGAACCAAATGATAATGCTTTGGTAATATTGTTATAGTGCATTTTTGTAGATATAATTCAAAAAGTACTCTTATCCATGTAACAGTTTTTTGGTGATAAAATATTGCACCAATTTAATTGATGATCGTTTGCTTCTTAGCTATGGAGGATAAAAGTGGACTGAAGTACATCTCAATTCTTCTTAGTTTTAAATTCTGTTTTCACATATTTCAACTATTTGAATATTTCAACTATTCTCACTTTTTCCACCTGAGACATTTCAGCCAGGTCCTTCAAAGGAAAACCACAAAAACTCACCAAACTTTGAAACCACAAATCAATATATATGCAGAAAAATATGCTAGAGAAAAAGGTTAGGGTAATTCAGAATTTTTCATCAAGAGGCTAGTCATCTGTTCTTTTCTTTTATTCTGACTACAGAGCAAAATTTTTATTAGTGCAAAACAGTTTGTATAGGTGGCAAGTTCATTATAATGGAATTTTTACTTACAAAGTTGATATGTCATAACGAGGCTAAATGATATAAAACTGGTAAGTCTTTTGATATAGGCTAAGCCTGTTTGCTGTCCAGCATACTTCATTTGTGTGTGTGTTTCAGCATATCGGAAATTTAGGCTAAAAGAAATTGAGGCTAGGTATAGTGGATTGTGCCTGTAATCCCAGCACTTTTAGAGGCTGAGGTGGAAGGATCACTTGAGGCCAGGAGTTCAAGAGCAGCTTGTGCCAACATAGTGAGACCCCCATCTCTACCAAAAGAAAAAAAAATTCTCTGGGTGTGGTGGCACATGCTTGTAGTCCTAACTGCTCAGGAGGCTAAGGCAGGAGGGTTGCTTGAGCCCAGGAGCTGATTATAGTGAACTATAATCAGGCTGCTGCACTCCATCCAGCCTGGGTGACAGGGTAAGACCCATTTCTAAAAAAAGAAAAAAAAAAATTAACAACAACAACAACAACAAAAAGAAATTGAAAATAAAAGTGTAGTACATCACAGTTTACAACTGTGGGTTTTTAAAAAAATTACTTCTTGCCCAACTCCTGTATATAATTGATAGCACTAGAATCACCTGGTAGGAACATTCCTGCCAGCTTAATCCAAGTCTTGCTAATAAGATGGTTCTTTAGAAACCTTAATTTTATAAGTAATCAGATAATTCTTTCTTGACAGGGTCAGTTAATGTTGAAAAGACTAGAAATATTTTTTAACTATCAGAAATTCAACTACCTTTGGTATTTCTGGTTATATTTTATTGGTCAGTTACTTGGAATAAATAATATATAATAATGCTACATAAGATGTTTCTTTGTTACTGTTCATACATACAGATTATGCCAGGTGCCATGGTAGTTAAGTTAGTATTCCTTCAGACACTCAGATCAAGTTAATCCAAGGGAAAGCAGGTACTTTCTTAAGTCTTAAGCAAAGCTGGATTGCCCACTTGAAATGGCAAAAATCCAAGGCTGAACTGTGCTCTGGGGAGAAGTGAGTCAGAATGTAATAACAGAAATGATTATGTATGATAGTGGAAATTTTAACAAGCAGCTACTTCTTGTATTGGACTAAAGGGTAAGTGTGTCTCATGTCAGCATTATCAGGCTTTTTAAATGAAAGAAATATATAATTTTTTTTAATAATTAGTATTTTTTTATGGTTTGTGATTTAGTTAAATGCCTTTTATTTTAATGTCGTATTTTGTTCTGGGTTTCTAATTATTTGCTGAGATACTCACTGGCTACTGAAGAAGCCACTCAGACCTAAGTTGTGTTTGTTCTTTGAAAGTGAACCCTCAGCTTTCTAATTCCATATATTAGGATAATTAAACAAAAAAGAAATTCATTCATTGATGAATTCTTTTCTGTTGGTTTTAAATCTGGCATTTCACTCAATTTTCTTTATTTATAGAGCTTCCTTATGGCTGGGAGAAAATAGAGGACCCTCAGTATGGGACATACTATGTTGAGTAAGTTTGTTACTTTAGTTAATATTCTCCTAAATGTTTTCTTTTCAGCATATAGCTTAAGACATACTGGGTATATCGTCTAGCTTTTCTGTTGATAAAAAAAAATTTTTTTTAAGGGAAATACTGGCTACAGCACTTTATGCTTCTGTGATCCAGTTTTTCAACTAGGGGGATGAGAAGGCAGGGGCAGTGAGCATTTGCTTCACTGACCTTGGGCTTCCCAGAAATTGGCTTTGAATTTCTAAATATAGAGAGTAAGAGGGAAGTTGCCTAGAGGACTAATAGCTGGAGATGCTATCCTTACTACTACAGCCTCAAAAGAGAAAGGAAGTAGATAGAAAACTGAAATGAGGGCACTGGACTAGATGAATTATTGAGGTCACTTCCAACACTGCCACTGTATGTTTTTGAAAGCGGTAAAAGGCCTTTAAGTACATTGTAACATAATGATACAGAGTTTTAAAGTATACAATTAAAGATATGCTGTCTTTTAAGGAGTTAATAAAGGAAAACTTGGTATTCTTTTTGTGGGTGAAGTGTGGTTCTTATGCAGCTGTTATGGTTCAGTTTACACAATAAATATATATTGGAGAGAAGCACCAAACACCTGCCTGTGTTAGTCAGAGAAATTAGTATAATGTCAACACCTAACTTTTCTTTCCCTTTTCTTTATTTATCTAATTGCTACATTGCTACAACCATTGGGCTTTCTTTCTTTCTAGATGCTACAGATGGGGAATTTTGGTCTTAGATGTCTACAGTCAGGCAAATAATTTTATCAAAAATATTACTATTTACTTGGAAACTAGGAGTCTGAACCTTCTGCCTAGATCACAAAGGCAAAATGATATTATTAACTGGAAAAATAGCAAACACAGGAATCTTCTAGTTTTATGATTGCTTATTAATTTTTCCTCACTTGTAAACATAAACCAATGCCATTTCCTAGTAATTATCACCAAAGCAAGTTACAACTGACTCTTGTTACAACTCTCATCTATATTCTAATGTGTAGGTTGTTACTTGGAGTCACTGTGGTTAGACAGATTTTTGGAAAGACTTTTTTAAACCCAACGTGTACCCTAAGGAAATGACTCAGTTAGATTGACCCTTAGGTATATAACTGCAGAGTTTTAATATTTTGATTCCTTTGAAAGGCTGTGCTAATTTTATTTTCATTGTGTTATTTAATATCTTACTGAAGCTGTGATATGAAAAGTATGCCACAGCTCTTGTGTTATTTTTTTTTTTTTTACTGGGGCATATTTAGCTAAAATCAAGGAAGAAATAACCATTTTTCAAGTCAAAGGAATATTTAGAGGCCAACTGAAAAGATTTTGTGGGATTTCCCCCCCTTAAAGTTTAGTCTATTTATTTATTTATTTGAGACAGAGTCTCACTCTGTTGCCCAGGCTAGAGTGAGTGCCATGGCATCAGCCTAGCTCACAGCAACCTCAAACTCCTGGGCTCAAGCAATTCTACTGCCTCAGCCTCCCAAGTAGCTGGGACTACAGGCATGCACCACCATGCCCAGCTAATTTTTTCTATATATATTAGTTGGCCAATTAATTTCTTTCTATTTATAGTAGAGACGGGGTCTCGCTCTTGCTCAGGCTGGTTTCGAACTCCTGATCTTGAGCAATCCGCCCACCTCGACCTTCCAGAGTGCTAAGATTACAGGCGTGAGCCACTGCACCTGGCCAAAGTTTAGTCTATTTAAATTGGACTTCAATCAACTATCATTTGCTATTGACTGTGCTGAACATTTCTGAGATAATGATTCTCATTCTTTTTATTATCCATTCCAAGCGAATTTGAATACATGGTCAAAAGGTGAAAATCAATTGCCTGTTATAAACTCTTGAGCTGACTGATCTGGTTCCCATTATGCAAGGATATAATATTGAAGTAACTTTAGGGCAAATCCTGAAGTGACCTGCTCCCAGTTGTCATGGGGGTGCCTGAAATAGCCGGAATTAGAAGCAACAACAGCAGCAGCAACATGATTTTGTATGATTGTTCCCAGAACAAGCTTATTTTACAGGAGTGTAATTTATTAGATTAAGAAAGAGCAGACTGTACTCACGATGCACATTAGTATGGAATCAGCTGAGCTGTGGAGTGTGGCTTGATTCCCAGATTAGTTAGGTTTTGAATCCCAACCATAGTAATCTGCAGTGAGTTTACTGATGGAGATAAAAAGCTGTTACTTGAATGGCTACTCTTTGGCTCTCTTGAGTTTGTCAAACCAGATGGCACAATGATTGCTCTTGGCAGGAGCCTTGTAGTAGTAACACCAACTGCAATGGCAGTTGTTCTTTGTGAGTATTTCAGAGGGTGAGATTCTAAGATGTAAATTAATTTTGAAAATAAAATTGTTCTAAAAATTTAATGGTAGGCCTTCCATAAAAATGCTTATATATATAGAAATGCTGTCTTGATTGTATTGCATGAAATATCTTTTTTTTAATTGACATATAATACTTGTATATATTTATGGAATACATAATGATGTTTCAATATATAGTGATCAGACCAGGGTAATTAGAATTAAATGTCTTGATATACTTAGGTGACAAAGTAAAAATATACATCTACTGTCATATCTCAAACTCTTTATGAAAGAATAACTATTCTTTTATTTGAGATAAATTTTTAAATCCAGATATTAGACATAAAATTTTAACATAGATGATATTCCAAATAATATATTATGTATTTATCATCCTTGTTTGCTACCTTTAATTCTGATAATCTGTAATAGCCCTCTCTCTTATTTCCCATAGCTAGTTATATGGAAAGCAAAATCTGTTACATCTTAATAATAATATGGGGATAAGTAACTAAATGAAAAGGGGAGTATTTTCACTTTTTTGTTTTGTTTGTTTTGGAGGGGGCGGTGGCATTTTAATCTAGGTAGTCTAAGGTAATAGATGAATTTCTCCCTTCACTAAATCTTATATTCTTTTGTTAAAGAATTTTCAGGAAAGAGATTACTCATTTGCATACTTCTGCCCTCTTCTCCCACACATAACAAAGGGTATAAATACAAATTACTACTTTTTATGTTCTAATGCCTGGGTGGCAAAGTGAATCATTCTAGCTGATGACATTAAAGTGCAAGTGAGCCAAATTTCCTTCTAAACAGGTTTATTCTTTTCTGAGTATCAGTTTTTAGTTTGTTTTGAAGGAATATGTAAAATGTCAATACCTAATAAGTTTTTTTTTAAGTGTTACCTAAAATTTTTGTTTTCACAGAGAGTTAAACAGTTAACTCAATGGATAAGGTGCCCCCTCATAGTATGAAGCAGAAGTATACTTGAGTATTAGTGAAATCAGAACCCAAAGAATGTCAAGTGGAACTTGCCATATTTAGTGCTCTGAAACTAAATAGCCACATCTGTTGCGGAGTTAATATGTACTAGAAGCCTAAATGACACGGAGAAAGCTAACATTCCTTTCTGTGTTTTTTTTAAGTTTTAAAATTTTTTTGTCCTGCTACCCCTTTTTCCACCACCATTAATGTTCACAAATGACAAATGTCCAATTTGTGTGACTATTTATATGCATATATTGTAATATTCAGCCTATCTAAAGACAATCATATTCTGAAATCCTCATGATTTGATGTTTAATTGTTAGTATTCACTAATATCGCTTCTTGTTAGAGTAGATCTTACTGGAAAACATGTATCCTTTGGTGATATATCTTTGTACTGTGGAATTGTTAGAATATGATTCCCGTTGTTTCTGGATTAGACCTACCTGTGGTCTTAAAGATTTTTTTTTTAAACAATTGCTTTCTTAACCAACTTCTACTTAAATGACTGGCCAGAATGACAATACTCTATTCCAGGCATCCTCAAACCACGGCCCAGGCCACATGCCGCCCGCCTGGGACATTCATCTGGCCCTCAGGGTGTTTTTGCCGCTGTTGCCTGTCTGCTTAGCAGCGGACTGACTTGTCCCAGGCCCACAGTGTGCACTCTCCAATGGTCTGAGGGACAGTGAACTGGCCCCCTGTTTAAAAAGTTTGAGGACCCCTGCTCTATTCCCTTTATAAAACATATGCTGCCATAGGATGTTGAAGACTGTTGGCTAATCTCCTGCTCTCTAGTCTCCCCAGGCTTCTCTGGTTTCCCTCACAGAGTTGTATGCTTTCCAAGAGTCAGTTGTGAATGTTCAACAAAGTTGAACTTATGTTATAATTATATAATTCATTTAATTATGATATAATTGTGAAGAAATTTATGTGTAAAAGAGTTATTCTATAATACAATTTGATAAAAGGCAAGTCACTTTCCTAGTTGCTGCTGAATGAATGTGGGTGAGTCAGTGAAAAAGGTATTAATAATATTCTAGAAGGGTTTGGTACTAAGATTTCTTTGAAAAAGTCCTTGCAGCTCGCTTCATTTTGGAGAAACTTAAATTAAAACCCTTCTATCATTAACTACCTTTTACAAAATATTAAATGACCAATTACCAACACTTCTGATTGCACCAGATAATTGGGCTTCTACTATAGTTTTGGAAACTGTCATTGGCTATATTGGGCAGGTTTATAAAGAAGCTATAGTAAATGTAATATAAACTTCAGCAGCATTGACTTCTAGGTATCTTCTGTGGTACTTTCTTTAGTTGCTAAAAAGGCCCTCCGCTATCATCTGTCAGTTTGTCTGTGTCCTATAGCCTAAGGATATATTTTTCCCTTAATATATTGTGATGAACTGGTATGATAATCTGTTTAAAAATATGTAACTCTTACATCTTAAACTGAAATGCATATTTTTCTACATTTTACAGTCACCTTAACCAGAAAACCCAGTTTGAAAATCCAGTGGAAGAAGCCAAAAGGAAGAAGCAGTTAGGACAGTCTGAAATTGGGTCTTCAAAACCAGGTAAGACTTTTCCTCGATCTTTTCTTTAAGAATGACTTGTGAAATTTGTATGCTGAGTTCACAAAAGTGGGTTCAAACTTTTTATTGCTGAGGTTTTGAAACTCAACAGGGAATGTCTAATTTTTGTCACTGGAAAGATGTATAATCTCAATAAAACATCTGAACATTCTGAGAATACTGAGATTTTTCCCATGATTATATAAAAAGCATAAAATTGTTGGGAGAAGGGATTTAGGTAGCTTTTTATGAGTTTGAGGTATTGTTTTGAAGATTGGAATGTTTCTTTATGTTTAAGGAGAGGCCAATATTAGGTCTCTAGTTCATTGTGAGTTTTTCCCAAGTTGATGTGGGAGGACAAGAAAGGATTCTTGTGTGTTATTGAAGTTGTGCTAGTTCTTAAAGAATAATGGCTACCATTATTGAGATATTGAGTCAAACACAGAACTAGATGCTTTGTATAATTATCTCATTTAAGTTTCAAAATAGCCTTGCATAACTATTAATATTATTTTCCCCATTTGGAGGCTTTGATGGCATCAAGTTAAAATTGTCTGATCCATCCCATGGCTATACTTTTCACAGGGACAGAAGCACTCATGTTTGTAAGCCAAGGAACCTCCATCCTTGAACAGTATATATGGGAAATACTCCTGACCCACTTTTAGTTGGCTTTGGTTTTTTTATTACTACTTTCCAAAATTAAGTGTTAACCGAAACTTTCCCTTTCTCTTTACTGTTTGCACATCTTGGATGTCATCCATACATTGTATGCTAATTTTTCAGTTTTACCCTCACAAGCCAATCTTATTCCTGTATTCATGGGGACTAGAGCATGGGATAGCTAACCAATCAATATTTTACATAAAAATGAAAAAGGTACATTTCATTAAAGATATTATTATCAAATACCTAAGTATTCAGTCATTAAAGAAATGTTCTTATCTACAATCTGGTAGGCAACACTAGTGGACAGTCAGAATCAACTTCCTTAACTGAAAGGGTATTTCACATATGAATTAAATAAATTTTGAAAAATAATATTTTATTCAGAGAGTAGTTGCTATTTTGAATGTCAGAAGCTGAACACGAGCTCAGCAATGCACAGAGGTATCACCATGACTGGCCATCCTCTGAGTGACCTTACAAGATGGCATTTATGGGGGTAAGTGCACTGCTGCCTAGGCAAGTCTAGTTCTCTCCTTTGAGAAGACCAAAATAGCTGGGTTTTGTTTGGTAGTATCAATTGCTTTTATTTGCAAGAGATCAGCAAATCTGGAAATAATATATCAAATAAAGGAGACCCTACTTTCTACCCCAAAGCTGACTTTGTCAGTATTTCCAGCCTACCTCTTAAGGGAGCTCTTTACATACTGCTCAATCTGCATAACCATACAGAGCAGTCCCAAGGTTGCCCTTTTTTCTAACTGACAGTAATGCATACCACTTAGAACACTCTGCTAAAAGGACCAGCAGCAGATACACACAGATAACTGGGCATGATACTAGTGCCAAGTGTGGGCTAAGTATGAAGTAAGCTGCTGTTGTTAATTTAAGTCATTAGGGAAATGCACAACAAAACCACAGTGAGATACCCATGACCCATGACCACTAGAAAGGTTACAACCAAAAGGATGGATAATATATAAATTATAAATCTGTACAGTTTGATTCTCTCACAGTTTTCATAACTGTCCTAATGGCAGCCATAGTGGGAAAAAGGAGAGAAAAGGTTCTAGGGAAGGGAAGGAAGGTGTTATTTACAAATGTGAGACACTTTTAGTTCTAGGATCATCCAGCCTCTAAAATAAGCCTTTCAAAAGAACCATGTTTTTCTTCTTCCTAAAGTATCCACTAAACATGAGGGAAAGGGAAAGAAACATGAAGCTATTTATTTCACATGCAGGGGATTCACTCCTTCTGTCAGATACAAATTAGAGGCTGCAGAAAACCTGAGTTGTGAATTATAAAAATTCTCAATATATTCTCTTTCATAAGTTGGTGACACTGGACTTCATCTTCCAACTATAGTGCTTTCCATATAGAGCTCAGTAGATGCTTATTCAAATGAAAAGTACAGCTGAATGAATGTCCAAAACTTTCAGGAATTCAGTACTAAAGGTTTTGACTTCATATAATGGAGTCTGGGTTGAGAGAAAGTAAGTACAAACAAGACAATCAGAAGGAGATGAAGCAAGTGTTTTTACTTTTCAAATAACATAAAAGAGTCCTATAAAAGATAAATGATTTATTAGCTCAGTTTTTTTTTCCCAATGATTTATGAGTTCAAATTCTAACTGTTCTACAACATTGGATTCTTTCTAATTTTCTTAATAGTTTCTCTTATATTTAAATTATATAGACTATCTTGAAGATTGGTGTAAGGGCTATTTGCATTGTAATGATTTTTGTTCTCTAACTCCTCATTTTGGCACAGATGTGGAAAAGTCACACTTTACACGAGATCCATCCCAACTTAAAGGTGTCCTTGTTCGAGCATCACTGAAAAAAAGCACAATGGGATTTGGTTTTACCATTATTGGTGGAGATAGGCCTGATGAATTCCTTCAAGTGAAAAATGTGCTGAAAGATGGTCCTGCAGCTCAGGATGGGAAAATTGCACCAGGTATCAAATTTTTCAGAATTTCTTAAAGAGTAGTGATACTATAACAAAAATTATATTGAAGACATTTTATTTACATATATATATGAAAGAAAATTAAATTATATAACTGAAGAGTATGATTCTTACATTAAAATAGCTTATCCTCTAAATTAAATGCATATTAGCTTTGAAGAAGGACCATTTTATAAATATGTGGAAACTATTAGAGAAAACAAATTTATTAATATTTCAGAATACTTTATATAATTTTGAGATATATGTCCTTGGCTATATAAAATGAAAGATTTATTAACCATCTTAGAAAACTGTTTGGTTGTTTGATTTTCTTTGATTATGTAGGATACTTTTGGAGCTAACATTTAGCTATAATCGTATTTGAAAAATGCTCCAGTGTGGTATTTATAGTTATATCAAATAAATTGTTATATCCCAAAGTTTTTCCCCAAGTGTTTTTGCTTCCTTAATCTTACTAGTCATTAGTAAAATTTCATTCCTATATTAAGAATTATAGACACAAACATTACCATTTTGACAAAGCTGCGTAAACTTAAATTGTCCTTTATATAGTTTTCCCAAAGTATTTTCTTGGTAATTGTTGAATATTTTAGTATGGCTGGCAGTATTTGTGGCTCAGGAGCTTAGAGGAGGTTCAAGATAAGTTACTGATTATAGGGGAGGTTTAAACACTTTTTTCCAGAAGGATTGTAGTTTTATACTGAGGTTGCTTTTTTCAGTGTTTGCTAGACATTTCTAATCCTCTGTTATTTCATATACCATGTAAGTATGGGCCCACATTTGCATGGTTGAATTGTCATAGTACTTTTCGATGACAAACATCAAGTTATTTTCAATTAGGATATGGAATCTCTCTTATTATGCTATCCTATTGAGGTGATAGAAACAACAAGAAAATTTAAAATAATCAACAGTTATATTTATAAAGAAAGTTATTTTAATTCTACTTTATTACTTTATAAAACATAGAGATTAGAATTAATAGTAAGGGTTTTTTATTTTCAGTTTTGACCTTTTCAACATTTTGTCCATGAAATACATCTCTTAGCTATATCATATATGCTGTCAGGATTTCATATAGTTTCAGATTTGCCTAAAACTGTTATTATCTCATTTGCATAGCAGTATAATACTCCCATGAAAATCCTAGGAGCTTTCACCAGGGGTAGAAAAGTCAAAAATTTGTTTCTAATTACTCTAATTTCTGTATCTTAGATTATGAAACAAATGTCCATAGACTAACAATTGCTTTTAACACTATTCAGGCTGAATTTTTTAAAGCCATCAGAGCAAATTAAAGCACCTTTACCCTTTACTTGGCAATAACCTTTTAAGTAATCATATTCAAATAAAAGCAAATGAATGGGACAGAGGCCAAATTTTAGGTTAAGTCTGCATTAAAAAATACCCAACTGATGAATGTTGAGTGATAATGATTCTGAAACCAAATTAGGCTCGGTACAGTGGCTCATGCCTATAATCCTAGCACTCTGGGAGGCCAAGGCAGGATGATTGCTTGGGAGTTCAAGATCAGCCTGAGCAAGAGCTGTCTCTACAAAAAAGTAGAAAAACTAGATGGGCATGGTGGGGCATGCCTGTAGTCCCAGCTACTTGTGAGGCTGAGGCAGGAGAATCACTTGAGCCCAGGAATTTGAGGTTACAGTGAGCTATGATGACACCATTGTACTCTAGCCTGGGCTATAGAGTGAGACCCTGTCTGAAAAATAAATAAGTAAATAAATAAATAAAATAAAATAAAATAAAAAATAGGTACACTAATGTAAAATCAGGAAAGCAAAACCAACTTTTATAAAGATTAATTTTGCTGACTTTTTAATGTCTTAAATAATATATCCTTTGCTTGTATTGATTTTTTTGTTGCTTGTTTCACCTTTTGAAATCTGATTTATAATATTAATAAATTCAAAATCTCTACAAAAACAATGCTGAAAGAAAATACATTCATAAACTAACATCATTCTAATCTTAGCTCTACATTTCTCAAACTAGAATAAATTTTTAAGTACATTGTAATAATCAATGGCTTCTTAAACTCAAGAAATAAAGTGGTATTTAAAGATAGCCTGTTTGTAAAAGTAGCCAATCGAGTTATTCACCACTCTTCTGTGTACTAAATACTTACTATAATGTGCCTAGTTTTGTATGGCTACTTAGGTATGACTTCGAAGGTATACTAATAATGATTATATGAATCTTCAGCGTTTGTTTTAATGATACACTTGAAGTCAAAACCCTTTGCTGCTAAAATAATTAATATTTTAGACATTACATATACTTTTTAGAGAGGAGTCACAAAGGGGAGAATGTCTATGTTAGAAATCTGTCCTTTCAGGCTGGGCAAGGTGGCTCACGTCTGTAATCATAGCACTCAATGAGGCTGAGGTGGGAGGATTGCTTGAGGTTAGAAGTTCAACACCAGCCTAAGCAAGAGCGACCCCGTCTCTGCTAAAAATAGAAAAAATCAGTCAAGCATGGTAGTGCATGCCTGTACTCCCAGCTACCAGGAAGGCTGAGGCAGGAGGACCTTGAGCCCAGGAGTTTAAGGTTGCTGTGAGCTAGCCTGACACCACGGCACTCTAGCCTGGGCAGCCAAGCAAGACTCTGTCTAAAAAAAAAAAGAGAGAGAGAGAGAAAAGAAATCTGTATTTTCAGCAGTTAATGAACAGTAAGAAGCTTCCAGAATTCAAATGTAGTTGTTAAATTTAAGTTATTTTTCCCTTTCCTCCAGCAAAAAATTAACTTTATTTGGTGGTTTTAATATTTTTATCATGATTGTGTTTTACCAGGTGATGTTATTGTAGACATCAATGGCAACTGTGTCCTTGGTCACACCCATGCAGATGTTGTCCAGATGTTTCAACTGGTACCTGTTAATCAGTATGTAAACCTCACTTTATGTCGTGGTTATCCACTTCCTGATGACAGTGAAGATCCTGTTGTGGACATTGTTGCTGCTACCCCTGTCATCAATGGACAGTCATTAACCAAGGGAGAAACTTGCATAAATACTCAGGATTTTAAGCCAGGAGCAATGGTTCTGGACCAAAATGGAAAATCAGGACACACCTTGACCAGCGATCGTTTCAATGGACCATCAGATCTAAGCGAACAGAGAGCATCCGTGGCATCATCAGGCAGTTCCCAGCCTGAACTAGTGACTATCCCTTTGATTAAGGGGCCTAAAGGCTTTGGGTTTGCAATTGCTGACAGCCCTACTGGACAGAAGGTGAAAATGATATTGGATAGCCAGTGGTGTCAAGGCCTTCAGAAAGGGGATATAATTAAGGAAATTTACCATCAAAATGTGCAGAATTTAACACATCTCCAAGTGGTAGAGGTGCTAAAGCAGTTTCCAGTAGGTGCAGATGTACCATTGCTTATATTAAGAGGAGGTGAGTAAAAGCACAACAAGGGAAAAGCTTCAATGTTCAAACATTTATATCTGTTTATTATCCTTCCTTACAGATCAGAATGTCTTTTCCCAGCAGTCTTAACTGGTAATTAGGGTGCATTTCCTTAAGTTTCTGTCTGATTGTTTCCATAAGTGATATCTTTTTCAGAAGTTTATTTAGTTATTAGTGGTTCCATTTATGTCCATTAAGGATTTCTTTTCCTCTGTATTCTTTTTAAAATCTGAATTATGGCTTTAATGATTAGAGAGAGTCATATCATTGTGCTACTTCGAATGAAATATATTCTCTTAATTTCATTTTCTCTGTTAATGGCAATAATAGAAATTGACTCTTTTAACCAGTAGTGCTTCATTTGGACCTCTCTAATACACCAAAGATGTTTTGAAAGAGCTAGCATCTCTGTGGATAAGTAAAATGTTGGATGGTATGTTAATCTGTTCTGCAAAGGCAATCATGATAGCTTGTGCTCATAAAGCTTTTATCTTAAGCTCTAGTATCTGCCTGTAAATGTTAATTAAACCCCACAGAGCTTATGTGAAAGAAATATAATTTTTATTTTCCAAGGTCATTAGCTGACATGAACTGCTCCCAGACATTATAAATCTAGTTCCAAAGACTGATCACAAAGTTTCACTTTAATAGGCTTTCTTAAATCCATACTTACAAATGACTAGTATTTTAAAGAATAAAATTAAGCTTTTTATTCTTTTATCTGTCTGGCTTTTTGTTTATATTTTTTAGTCAAATGAGCACTTTAACTTCTTCAGGGAGCTTTTTCTTCTTCTCATTTGTTTGAACCATATTGGTTTCTTCTGGGTGATGGTAGAGTGTGTTCAGAGTGAGGTGAAAATCTTTATGTGAGTGCTTGAGAGTTATTTAGGGCTTCAGCAAAAATAACAGAGAGACCAGAGTTTGATGTCACAGAGATCTGATGTCAGTTTTCTACCTTACCATTTATTGGTTTTATGATATAGGGAAGAATCTTAGTTTACATTATCTGTAAAATGGTCATATCATTTATGTCTTAGGATTGTCATAAAAATGAAATGAGAGAATATATGTATAATGCCTGGCATAGGAATTATTAGACATAGAATTTACTAGCCTACTAAAAGTTGAAGCTAGTTTTATCATAAACATTAGCAGTATTTGTGATCTGGGAATGCTTCCTCTATTTTTAAAATTTGGCTCATTTTTTTTTTTTAAGGCCCTCCTTCACCAACCAAAACTGCCAAAATGGTGAGTATATACTGGTCCTCAAATGCTTCTTCCCACCACTCTGAGAGAGATGCCACGTTCCCCTCTATAAGAACAGCTCACCATGGTGGTGATTATTGACTGGGAGAAGTCAGGAGGCATGCTGCCCTGGGATTATATCAGGAACTCTAAGGAGTTCCTGGTGGAATGCTTCCTTAAGGAAGCATTTAGAAAAAGCCCCTAGTGAGGGGATGTGCTCTCCTGGTTAAGGATTGCTGTTGGAGGACTACTGGAGGCCCATACTACCAATCTTGTTCTCTGAGTAGTAGATTGTGACCACATTGAAGAACATATGTAGGGGTCCTTTTACATTCTTTGTGTTTCCAAGGAGCAAAGTAAGAAGAACCTAAATGTTAGGATAGATGATAAACTGTTACATCTTCAGTTGATAGTTCATACAGATGATAAACTGTTACCAGCATCTTGCTGGTGCTCCAAGAGAAGACGTGGTAACTTCACATAATATCATGGGTACTCTAAGTACCCACATTTTGATAACCTTCTTACATTTAGGATTAAACAAGACTTTCTAGAGTAATTGTGGCCGTCTTTGCTAAATTTGCTTATTAAAGTAAAAGGCTTGAAACAGTGTCTTCTTTGCCATTCTTCTGAATAACTGAGTAGCCTATTTAAGTACCTATAGAGAGAATAAGAACTAAAATAAGGAGACACCAAATAGTGCTTTTGTGGAAGAAATTGTACTGGGTGCACATTTGTGTCTACTTAAATATCCACAATTATGTCGATATGAATATAAAGGCAATTATAATTTAAAATCCTAATTTACTTCTAGTTTGCTTGGAGTCTTTCATCTCAAAATTGAAAGATGGTCTTCTGTAACCATAAGCCATAGACTATTAAAGGAAAGACCATCATATATTAAATAGATTAATTCTTTCTAGTCCACCAACTAGGAATCTGTGGCAAATTTGCTGTTTTATAGATCAAAAGGAAAGAAACAGCCTCTGCCCTTTTTATTATATGTTTATATTACTTAGATCCAGTGTGAATAGAAGTTCTTTTTGTCCATTTAGTTAAAATTGCACTGTATTTTTCTACATCTCTCTGGCTCCTCTAGTAATCATTTTTAACTCCTATGCCAGCATATCTGTTTCATAATGGATGCCACTGCAGCCACAGCGAACCCAGTGCTTTATAATTAACAGGAGGCTCTGGTGACCTTTAACTGATTCTGACAGAATACTAGGGAATGTGGGGAAAGGGGAGGGGACTGCTCTTACCTTTCCTGCCATCTGACTGGGTCTGGGTCAGTGAAAGTTTCCCTATGGCACAACATTTTGTAGTGACTGACCCCTCATTACTCCCTGACAGGCTGATGCCCCTGCATTCTAGTCAGCATTAATTATCACAAACATCTATAACCTCCATCTCCTAACAATTATTCAGGATAAAAAGCTGATCCCAAAACCATATTTCTTAGGCTACTTATTTGATTTCATTTTCCATAAAATTTTATTAAAGAAGTCATTTTGCTTGGCTTTTATTTTGGGAACATTCTATCTGAATCAGGAAAATATCAAAATATGCTCCACTTTCCTTTATCTGATTGCCTGGCATGGTACATTTTTCCTTAAAATATGTGAATTGGCCAGGCAGGGTTTTTACAGTGTCATCTTTGTCATCTAAATTAGAGTTAACACTTCCTATCCCATTTTTTGAGAAAGAATGTTATCTTAAACATCTTCACGGAAAATTAAACTCAGTGAGTAGGAGGTGGGGCTTATCAAGAATTTTATGAAAGTATTCTCTGAGTCTCTCTCTTGCTTTACTTAGAAGTGCTACCTTGTGTTGTATTCCTATTTATCATCATCTCAGAGTCAATTTGTGTCGTGGGGGTAAAGAAAAGGGCAAGATTGCTTAAACATAGGATTAATTGAGGCCCTTCAGTTGACATCATTATAAACTTTTTCTAATTTAAATACATTTTAACCAAATATATATGGCTATGAAAGTGAATTCCTAAAGGACTGCAAATGTGCTATGGCTTTGACGCTGCCACTATACAACTGTAATCAGTTGACATATCTAGTTCAGACAACAGTTTTATAAATTAATCAACCATCTGACTTTTAAAAATACTAAGTAAGGCCCTTTTCCATTTCAGAAAACAGATAAAAAGGAAAATTCAGGAAGTTTGGAGGCCATAAATGAGCCCATTCCCCAGCCTATGCCTTTTCCACCCAGCATTATCAGGTCAGGATCCCCGAAATTGGATCCTTCTGAGGTCTACCTGAAATCTAAGACTTTATATGAAGATAAACGTAAGTAGTTGTGGAATATTGCAGGAGAGCATGTAACAAGATAAATCTGGATTTAAAAAAAAAAAACTGGGACCTTCCCATCTTTCAAAAAAGCATATGGAAAAGTTATTCCTTCATTCCTATTTTAATATAACTCTGGCTTCTTCCATGTACATTCAACATTCACTTATTCATTTTTTCCAAAACCATGTATTAAGTGCCAGCTATCTAACAGATGCCACATTAGGTCATTGGAATACAGAGATAAATAGGTTACACAGGCCCTGCACCCAAAAATATTATTAAACCTAAATGGAAAAGACAAGTATGTAATCAAATAAGTAGAGATGCAGAGGTGTTTATGAGGAAGATAAAAGGTAAAGACAGAAGGAATAGCATTTTCTCATTGGCCTTGCATGGCCCAGGTTCTACAAGTATTAATAGTTCACTTTGGCTTGGTGTCATTGGCAAGGAAGGCAGAGATGAGAGCAGGAACAAATTGTAGGGGGTCAGTTACGCCCCTCTGGGGAAACTAGACTCTGTTATATAAATAAGAGAGGGCTATGGAATGGTTTTAACTATGGGAAAGATATTTTTGGACTTGTATTTTAGAAAGATTTTTCTGGCAGGATGGAATATGAATCAGAGGTGTATGCAATTTGAGGAAGGCATACAATTTGAGGAGGAAACCAAAGAGTCAACCCCTTAAAGGAGTCCATCTCAGAGATGAGAAGAGAGAGTGCATAAGGCAGAAATTCATATTTGTACTAATTTACTTACTAATGAGAAATCTATTCCAAAGTAAAATTACATAGTTAAGTGGGTTTAATTTTTTAAAATTTGTTTTAAGAAATAGATCTAAATCTACCTTGGAAAAGATACATACAGGTGGAAATATTATATGTAATTGACTTCATGTTTATTTAACTAGTTGCAGAACTTTATCTTGATATTCCCAGGCCATATTTAGAAAGATGAAAACCGAGTGTAAGCACAGCAAAGTAATAGTTTAAATTAGTGTAACTGTGTAGAATGGGTTGTTATTTCAAGCCTGATACATTCTTAATATTGGTATAAACTCTGCAGTCCCATTGGGCTTCACCCATAAAATAAGTGAATTGGACTCATGACTCTTTTAATCTCTAAAGTTCTATGATTTTAATAAGAAATATTTGTCAAAAGATATTGCTTCTAAAGAATATTATCAGGAGTTTATACCATACTATATGTCACTTTTTATATATTTTCCCGATATGTTTATCTCTTTTCTCTTATTAGTAAATACTTCTTGCTTGTAAGTAACATTATTCTTTTCCCAGAGATAAAAATCTTAGGAAATAGATTTTCCTGACTTAATATTCTGAGGAATGCAACCTGCCCTTTGGGGGCAGGGTAGTGTGAGTTAATAGTCTGGACCCTGGAAATCAGGCTGGGTTAAAATCTCAGTTCTGCCACTTACTTGCTGTGTGACACTGGGCAAGTTATTTAGGCTTCAGTTTCCCCACCTAGAAAATGGTGCTAATAGTAGGTGTTAGCTGTTTTTTTATTTTCCTTTAAAATGCTATTGTTTTGCAAAATTAGGCTAGGTAAGTAATTCATATGTAATATTTTTCAGAGACAAAGATATTAACATGAGAGTAGAAAGAAAGTATTTTATGAGCTCTTTTTTCCTAGGATTTAAAGTACCTTACCTTACTCAAGTGTTAACTTAGATCATTTGTGCCTATCAAATATCAAACTCAAATTGGATAATTCTAAATTTAGTATTGTAATATTGATTGGACAGCATTAGAAGTTAACGGTTGTGGAACACTGAGTGCATGGAAGTGGGAGTAAATATTCCTCAACAGTCTTGATACAGTTTTGTTTAAAGCTCAAAATAGGATTTAACTTGAATTTTTGTGTGTATGTGTTATGCTCTTGTGTAAATTTTCACATATCAAAAAGTTCTGAGATTATAGTTTGTTCTTCTGTAATATTATTCTACTATATATTGAACTTTGTTTTGTTTTAATCCTTTTAAAATATTTATTTTATATTTTCTGGTTTTCCTTAGCACCAAACACCAAAGATTTGGATGTTTTTCTTCGGAAACAAGAGTCAGGGTTTGGCTTCAGGGTGCTAGGAGGAGATGGACCTGACCAGTCTGTAAGTGTCAGTTCCTTGCAATACAGCTGTTCCTGTTCAAACTTTGTGGTGGTGATTTGGTGGAATATGATGTGTTTTGTTTGGTTTGGTGTTTTAAATTGTTTTTTTCTCTAACAGTTTCATGAATATGAGGAAGAACTATATTTTTATTAGTATCATAGTCCCTCAGTTAACATGGTACAGCTGAGGCTAAAAACTGTAGGTAAAAACTGAATATGTCAGCTGCAGATTGGACAGTGACAATTTATTTACTTCTCTGTATAAATAAATAAAGCTTATTTTAAGTATTTATTTCCCTTTGCCTTCATTAAACAGAGTCTTAGACATTTTCCTTCTCTAAGAAACCTGTGATTCTATCCTCTTTCCCACAATTACTCTATTTTCTGAATTTTTCATAAATAGTTGGCATGAGCCTGTGCATATTATTTCACCTAATCTTATTAATGGCTTGGCATTTTCATGTTTGGTACTTTGCATGTCATTTCATCTATTACCTAGGAAACCAGAAAAATATAAAATAGTTAATATTTCTATCTAGAAGGCATAAGGGTTATAGAATTTAAAGTCTAGACTTACATTTACACATAACTCTCACATAGTTAAAGAACAAATGTAGTAGGTTTGGTTTTGAAGTTTTGCCCTTGAATAATGAAGTAATGAGCTCTGAAGAATTTAAGAACATATTTGCTTTTTTTGTGTGTGTGTATAATATAGAACTATATTGCTATGCTTGGAACTTAGGTAAAAAACAATCATCTTTAAAATGACAAGCTTCTTTGTATTTCTGAATAAAACATTTGTTTGGTTATAAGTACAGCTATCATTAGAGACACATAAAGCTTAAGGAAGGTTGCCCTATACAGGGCAAAAATAAGATACTTTGTTCTTAATGGTGTATTTATTTCTTTTTATTGCTTCCTATTTTGTTGATATTCATAGTGTTCACTTGGACACTTTAAGAATTTATCTTGAACAACTTGGGAAAAACCTTTTTTTTCCTCTTAAATGTCAGATTCTAGCAGCTTTGAAACTAGCCAAACATTCAGGATTGCCTAATTATAGGATTCTAATTGTTCGTGAGCAGAATGAACCAGATTTGGTCACCTAGGTGCAAGTGAACCTTAGTCTACTCTGTTTCCCTTGAGATTTAGAAACAAATTGTTTCTCAGTTGTATATACTGAACTTGTATGTGATGGGAGTATTGTGAGAATGATCCCAGTTGCTATGAACAGTGTGTAGAAAATCTTGCCAAGGGCATTGAACAGGTTTTTTTCTACTTTTAGTAGCTATTCCACAGAATTGCATTTTCTTTTCTCTTTCTTTCTTTTTTTTTTTTTTGAGACAAAGTCTCATTCTTACCCAGGCTAGAGTGCCATGTCATTAACCTAGCTCACAGCAACCTCAACTCCTAAGCTCAAGCCATCCTCCTGCCTCTCAGCCTCCTGAGTAACTGGGACTACAAGCGCATGCCATCATACCCTGCTAATTTTTTCTATTTTTAGTAGAGACAGGATCTCGCTCTTAGTCAGCCTAGTCTGAAACTCCCGATCTCAAGCAATCTTCCTGCCTCAGCCTCCCTGAGTGCTAGGATTGCAGGCGTGAGCCACTGCATAAGGCCAAGAATTGTTATTGTATGAGTTTAACATTTTGTTTCCTGGTAGTGATGGAGATGATGGTGGCACTTTTTGAATTATTGAACAACTTTGTATTTTTTGTCTTCTTTGGATATAACCCTGGGAATCTACAAGGGATTACATAATACAGTGTGGTTATTTGAAGTGCCATTTTGGAGAATGGGCATTTTCTAAGATAACACCTTTCTAAAATATGATTGTTTTCATAATTGAACTGTAAAAATCTGTTGGTTTGCACAGTGCTGAGTAAGGCAGTCCTACTCTTCAAGTGCATCTTAGACTATACACCACCTTATACTTTGTTATCTTATCAGATATATATTGGAGCCATTATTCCTCTTGGAGCAGCTGAGAAAGATGGTCGGCTCCGAGCAGCTGATGAACTAATGTGCATTGATGGAATTCCTGTTAAAGGAAAATCACACAAACAAGTCTTGGACCTAATGACGACTGCTGCTCGAAATGGCCATGTGTTACTAACCGTCAGAAGAAAGATCTTCTATGGAGGTATGCAAACCTGTTCCTGCTCTGAAAAGTTAAAAAAGAAACAAAGACTTATTCCCCTTTGTATGTAGTTTTACAGGTTATTTTATTTAATTTAAGGTCAAAAGGATCCAGAAATGATACCACTATTTAAAAAGAAATAAATTTTTGGCCTCTATTCTAAGCTTATATTAATATATTGATGCATTTGTGCCAATGTGGTATTGCAGATGGGAATATCAGTTTAAATCTGTTTTTTTTAAACAAATACAAAATTATTTAATTATACCAAGATACCCACTAGCTGGATATGCAAATATTTTGGATACTGACAAAAATCTCAAATATTCAAGGAAAGTGGAATGTTGTACTTGAGAAGTACAAATTTAACTTTAATTTAATTATACTTTAAATTAACTAAAGTATAATTTAACATTTACTGAGTATTCACTATGTCCCAGGTGCATGGATTATTTTATTTAATCTCACAAAGCTATGATGTAAAAACTGTCATTTCTACAATTACTCACAGAAAGGTTGAGAGACACGTAACTGGTAAGTAGTAGGGCCAGGATTAAAATTCTCAGTTTAATTGAAGAGGGTCTAAACTATTATACTAGGATATGAGTATCTTTTATAGTTTTCTCATCAATAGTTTTGTGAATATTAAATAGGAATTTTTTTTGAGACAGTGTCTTATTCTGTTGCCCAGGCTAGAGTGCCGTGGTGTCAGCCTAGCTCACAGCAACCTCAAACTCCTGGGTTCAAGCAGTCCTCCTGCCTTAGCCTCCCGAGTAGCTGGGACTACAGGCATATGCCACCATGCCTGGCTAATTTTTGCTATATATTTTTAATTGTCCAGCTAATTTCTTTCTATTTTTAGTAGAGATGGGGTCTCACTCTTGCTCAGGCTGGTCTCGAACTCCTGAGCTCAAACAATCCACCCGCCTCGGCCTCCCAGAGTGCTAGGATTACAGGTATGAGCCACTATGCTCAGCCTAAATAGGAATTTTTATAAGTGAAATCTTGCCACTTTAAAATTTAAAAGACAACTGTAGCACAAAAATGTAAGCCTCATAAAGGTATGGATTTTTATCTGTTTATCTGCTGTATCCCTAGCACCTAGAAAAGTACCTTCCTGGCACAGAGTGGACATTAGTAAGTGTTTGTGAACTTGATGAATATTTACATCAATCTTAAAAATAAGGCTGTTTCTTTTTATATTTGTTATTGCTGTATAATATTCTACATATTTATGGGGGGGTACATGTGATATTTTGTTACATGCACAGAATTTGTAATGGTTGAGTCAGGGTATTTGGAGTATCCATCACCTTGAGTATTTATCATTTCCGTGTTGGGAATACTTCCAGCTCTCTCTTCTAGCCACTTTGAAATGTACAATACACTGTTGGCCATTAGAATTTATACTTTCTAACTGCTTGATCAAATCTACTGCCCAACCTCTTTTTATTCCCCTGCAATTCCCCCAACACCTTTCCCAGCCTCTTGTTTCTATTATTCTAATCTCTACCTCCATGAGATCAACCTTTTTAGTTCCCACATATGAGTGAGAACATGCAAAATCTGTCTTTCTGTGTCTGGCTTATTTTACTTAACATAATGACCTCCAGTTCCATCCATGTTGCTGCAAATGACACAATTTCCTTCTTTTTTATGGTTGGATAGTATTCCATTGTGTATGTATACCACGTTTTCTTTATCCATTTGTCTGTTGGTGGACATGTAGGTTGATTTCCATATCTTTACTATTGTGAATACTGCTACAATAAACACGGGGGTGCAGGTATCCCTTTGATATAACAGTTTCTTTTCCTTTGGATAAATACCCAGTAGTAGATTGCTGGATCCTATGATAGTTCTATTTTTAGTTTTTAAAAAAATCTCCAGGCCAGGCATAGTGCTCACACTTAAAATTCTAGCACTCTGGAAGGCTGAGATGGGAAGGCTGTTTGAGCTCAGGAGTTCAAGACCAGCCTTAGTAAGAGTGAAACCCTGTCTCTACTAAAAATGGAAAAGTTAGCCAAGTGTCATGGTACGTGCATGCCATGGAGCTGCAGTAATGCCATTACACTCTACCCAGGGCAACAGAGAGAGAGAGTCTTTGATTCAAAAAAAGAAAGAAAAGGAAAAAAAAAGAAATATCCATACTATTTTCCATAGAAGCTGTACTAATTTACATTCCCACCAAGAGTGTATATAAGAGTTCCTTTTTCTTCACATCCTCACCAGCATCTATTATTTTTGGCTTTTAATAATAGCCACTCTCACTGGGGGAAGATTATTTCTCATGAGGTTTTTATTTGTTATTCTCTGATGATTACTTATATGGAGCATTGTTTCATATACTTGTTGGCCATCTGTGTGTCTCCTTTTGTGAAATGTCTATTTACGTCCTTTGCCCATTTTTTTATTTTTATTTTTTTATTTCAGGATATTATGAGGGTATAAACATTTTGGTTATATTTTATGACTTTTCCTCACCCAAGCAAGGATTAGAGGCATGCCCTTCCCCTCTACAACGCTCACCACATCCATTAGTTGTGAGTTTACCCCCCTCAACCCCCAATCCCTGGAGAATATTACTACTGTGAGCACCATAGTGTTGATCAGTTAGTGCCAATTTGATGGTGAGTACATGTGGAGCCTATTCTTCCATTCTTGTAATACCTCACTTTGGAGGATGGGCTCTCAAGCTCTATCCAGGAGAATATAAGAGGTTCTAGATCACTGTAGTTTCTTATAATTGAGTAATATTCCATTGTATACATATACCAAATTTTAATAATCCACTCATGAATTGATGGGCACTTGGGTTGTTTCCACATCCTTGCAATAGTGAATTGTGCTGCCATAACTATTCTGGTACAGATGTCTTTATTACACAATGTCTTTTGCTCTTGGGTAGATGCCTAATAGTGCTATTGCTGGATTGAATGGTATTTCTATTTTTAGCTATTTTTTGAGGTATCTCCACAAATTCTTTTCCACAGAGGTTACACTAATTTGCAGTCCCACCAGTAGTGTAAGAGTGTTCCTGTCTTGGCCAGGTGCGGTGGCTCACGCCTGTAATCCTAGCACTCCGGGAAGCCGAGGTGGGCAAATCATTTGAGCTCAGGAGTTCGTCGAGACCAGCCTGAGCAAGAATAAGACCCTGTCTCTACCAAAAATTAAAAAAAAATTAGCTGGACATGGTGGCCCATGCTTGTAGTCCCAGCTACTTGAGAGGCTGAGGCAGAAGGAATTGCTTGAGCCCAGGAGTTTGAGGTTGCTGTGAGCTAGGCTGATGCCACAGCACTCTAGCCTGGGCAACAGAGTAAGACTCTGTCTCAAAAAAAAAAAAAAAAAAGGAGCAAGTGTGTTCCCGTCTCTCCACATCCTCACCAGCATTTGTTGTTTGGGGATTTTTTGATAGAGGCCTATCTCACTGCTTTGCCCATTTTTACTGGGGTTATTTGTTTTTTGTTTTTGTTTTTGTTTTTTACTGTTGAGTTGACTTTCTTATATATTCTGGATATTCGTCCCTTGGATGAATAGTTTGCAAATACTTTCTCCCATTTAACAGATTGTCTCGTCACTCTGTTGATTATTTCCTTTGCTGTGCAGAATCTTTTTAGTTTAATATATTTCCATTTGTCTATTTTTATTTTAATTGCCTGTGGCTTTTTAGTCTTAGCCATAAAATATTTGCCTAGACTAATGTCCTAAAGCATTTTCCCTGTCACTTCTTCTAGTAGCTTTATGGTTTCAGGTCTCTTGTTTAAGTTTTTAATCTATCTGGAGTTGATTTTTGTATATAGTGAGAGGGATTCAGTTTTTTTCTTCTGTATAAGCATATCCAATTTTCCCAGCACCATTTATTAAAGAGGGTGTCCTTTCACCAGTTCTTGGTAACTTTGTTACCAAAAATCAGTTGGCTGTAAATATGTAGATTTATTTCTGGATTCTCTATTCTGTCCCATTGGTCTGTTACCATGCTGTTGTGGTTGCCATAGCCTTGCAATATATTAATATTTTGAATCAGGTAGTGTGATGTCTCCATCTTTGTTCTTTTTCCTCAGGATTGCTTTGGCTATTTGGGCTCTTTCTTGGTTCTATACAAATTTTAGAAAAATTTTTTCTATTTCTGTGAAAAAGAATGTTGGTATTTTGATAAAAATTGCACTGAATCTTTAGATTATTTTGGGCAGCATGGTCATTTTAACAATATTAATTCTTCCAATCCATGAGCATGGGATGTCTTTCCATTTGTGTCCTCTTCAATTTCTTTCATCAGTGTTTCATAGTTTTCCTTATAGAGGTCTTTCACCTGCTTGGTTAAATTTTTTCATAGGTATTTTAATTTTTTGTAGCTGTTATAAATGGGATTACTTTCTTGATTTCTTTCTCAGCTAGTTCCTTATTGGTGTATAGAAATGCCATTGATTTTTCTGTGTTGATTTTGTATCCTACAACTTTATTTTATATATCACATCTAACAGTTTTTTGGTGGATTCTTTAGGCTTCTAGATAAAGATCATATCACCAGCAAAGAGGGACAATTTGACTTTTTCTCTCCTAATTTGAATGCCTTTTATTTCTTTCTCTTGCTTTGAATGCTCTGGCTAGGACTTCTAGTACTATGTCTAATAAGAATGGTGAAAGTGGGCATCCTTGGCTTGTTCTAGTTCTTAAGGGAAAGGCTTTTTGCTTTTCCCCATTCAGTGTGATGTTAACTGTGGGTTTGTCATATATGGTCTTTATTATGTTGAGGTATGTTCCTAGTATGCCTCATTGCTGAGAGTTTTAATTATGAAGGATGTGGAATTTTATCAAATGCTTTTTCTGTGTCTATTGAGATAATGATATATTAATAATTTTGTCCTTCATTTTGTTGATGTGATGTATCATGTTTATTGATTTGCATATGTTGAACCATCCTTGCTTGCCTGAGATAGATTCCCACTTGATCATGGTGCATTATTTTTTTGATGTGCTGTTGGATTCAGTTTACTAATATTTTGTTGACAATTTTTGTATCTGTGTCAGGGATTTTGGTCTATAGTGTTCTTTTTTTGTTGTGTCCTTGCCTGGTTTTGGTATCAGGGTAATGTAGGCCTCATAGCATGAGTTAGAGAGAATTCCCTCTGCTTCAATTTCTTGAATAGTTTAAGAATTAGTGTTCTTTGAAAGTTTGGTAGAATTTGGCAGTGAAGCTATCTAGTTCTAGACTTTTCTTTGTTGGGAGACTTTCATTGTTGACTCAATCTCTTTACTCATTATTGGTCTGTTCAGGTTTTCTATTAATAATTCTTCGTTATTCAATCTTGGCAGGTCTAGGAATTTATTAATTTCCTCTAGGTTTTCTAGATTGTTAGTATTTAGTTGTTCATAATAATCTCTGATGATCTATGATCTTTTGTATTTCTTTTTTTTTTCTTTCTTCTTCTTTTTTTTTTTTTTGAGACAGAGTCTCGCTTTGTTGCCTAGGCTAGAGTGAGTGCCGTGGCGTCAGCCTAGCTCACAGCAACTCAACTCCTGGCTCAAGCAATCCTACTGCCTCAGCCTCAAAGTAGCTGGGACTACAGGCATGCGCACACTGCCGGCTGATTTTTTCTATATAGTTGGACAATTATTTCTTTCTATTTATAGTATCTCGCTCTTGCTCAGGCTGCTTTCGAACTCCTGACCTTGAGCAATCCGCCCGCCTCGGCCTCCCAGAGTGCTAGGATTACAGGCGTGAGCCACCACGCCTGGCCTTTCTTTCTTCTTTATTTATTTTTTAGAGACAATTTCTTGCTGTCTTGCCCAGGCTAGAGTGCAATGGCATGATCAATCATAGCTCACTGCAGCCTTGAATTCCTGGGCGCAAGCAATCCTACCTCAGCCTCCAAGTAGCTGGGACTACAGGCGTCTGCCACCATGCCCAGCTGATAATCTTTTGTTTTTCTGTGGTGTCAGTTGTAATGTCTCCTTTTTCATTTCTTATTTTGTTTATTTGGGTCTTTTTTTTTCTTAGTCTAGCAAGTGGTTTATCAATTTTATTTGTCTTTTCAAAAAAACCAATTTTTCATTTCCTCGATCCTTTGTATTATTTTTTCAGTCTCTATTTCATTTAGTTCTCTACTTTGATCTTTATTATTTCTTTCCTTCTACTAATTTTGTGTTTGGTTTCTTGTTTGTCTAGTTCCTTGATGTATTGTTAGGTGGTTTATTTGAAATCATTTTACTTTTTTTAAGTAGGCATTTTTTGCTATAAAATTCCCTTTTAGCACTGCTTTTACTGTATCTGATACATTTTGGTATGTTGTGTTTTGATTTTCATCTGTCTCAAGAAATTTTTTTATTTCCTCCTTAATTTCTTCATTAACCCAGTAGTCATTGAGGAGCATGTTGTTTCATTTTCATGTGTTCCCAAAGTTCCTCTTGTTGATTGATTTCTAGTTTTATTCCATTGTGGTCTGAAAAGATACTTGATATGATTTCAGTTTTTTAAAATTTGTTGAGACTTGTTTTATGTCTTAACATATGGTCTATCCTGGATAATGTTCCATATGCTGATGAAAAAAATGTATATTCTGTAGTAGCTGTTGGATGAAATGTTCTGTAAATGTCTGTTGGGTCTCTTTGGTGTAATGTGGAGTATTTAAATCCAGTGTTTTTTGTTAATTTTCCGTCTAGATGATCTGTCTAATGCTGAGAGTGGGGTGTTCAAGTCTCCAACTATTATTGCATTAGAGTCTATCTCTTCCTTTAAAAGATCTAATAATTGCTTTATATATCTAGGTGCCCCTATGTTGGAGCACCTATATACTTAGCACATATTGGAGCACATTAATACTTAGAGTTGTTATATCCTCTTTATGAATTGATCTCTTGTTTGTCTGTTTTTACTGTTTTTGATTTTAAAGTCTGTTTTTATCTGATATAAGCATAGCTAGTCCTGCTTGCTATTCATTACTGTTTGCATGGAATACCTTTTTCTGTACCTTTACATTCAATCTAGATGTGTCTTTACAGGTGAAGTGGGTTTCTTATACAGCATATAGTTGGATCATGGTTGTTTTTATTTTGTTTTGTTTTGAACCCATTCAGCCAGTCTATATCTTTTAAGTGGAAAGTTTGATTCCTTTACATTCAAGGTTATTGTTGATATGTGAGGGTTTATTTCTGTCATTTTATTAATTAATTTGTGGTTGTTTTATATAACTTTAGTTCCTTTCTTCCTCTATTATTGTTTATCATTGTGGTTTGGTGTACTTTGTAGTGGTGTATTTGAGTTTTTTTTCTTCCTTGTTTGTGTGTTTGCTTTACCAGTGGCTTTTATATTTTCATATGTTTTCATGGTAGTTATTGTTCTGTTGCTTCCAGGTATAGCACTTCCTTAAGCATTTCTTGTAGGTCTAGTATAGTTATGACAAGTTCCCTCAGGTTTTGCTTATCTGTAAAGATTTTTTTCTCCTTCATTTATGAAAGAAAACTTTGTGGGGTATAGTATCCAGTTGTTGTTGTTGTCCCCCCCTCAGCACTTTGAATATGTCATCCCATTCTCTCCTAGCCTATAAAGAGTCTGCTGAGAAATCCACTCTTAGTCTGATATGAGTTCCTTTATAAGTGACTAGACACTTTTCTCTTCCTGTTTTTAGAATTTTCTAAATTCTAAATTTAAATTAAATTTTCTTTTTGTCTTTGACTTTTGACAGTTTGAATACAACTGTCATATAGCTGTAGCATGGAAAAGACCTTTTTGAATTGTATCTGTTAGGGAATCTTTGAGCCTCCTATATCTGGGTATCTAAACTCTTTGTAGACTTGGGAAATTTGTATCTATTATTTTGTTAAATAGGTTTTCTAACTCTTTTGTTTTCTCTTTGTTTTCTGGGACTCTGAAAATAAGCATATTTGGTCATTTTTGGTGTCCTGCCTATCACAAAGGGTTTACTCTGTTATGTTCATTTTTCTTTATTTTTGTATGACTAGGTTGTTTTAAAAAAACCTATCTTCAAGTTTGAGATTCTTTCTGCTGCTTGATAGAGTCTATTGTTGAAGCCTTCAGATATATTTTGTATTTCATTCAGTGAAGTCTTCAGTTCCAGAGTTTCTGTTTGGTTCTTTTTTATGCTATCTTGTTGGTAAATTTCTCATTCATATCCTGGATTGTTTTTATTTTTTTATGATTTCTTTGTATTGTTTTATAGAATTTTCTTATATCTCACTGTGCTTTAGAATTGATAATTTGAATTCCAGAATTTTATAAATTTTTTTTTAATTGTGATTTATTGCTAAAGAATTATTATGTTCATTTGGAGGTGTCATATTTCCTTGCTTTTTCATGTTTCCTGTGTCCTTACATTGATATCTATGCATTATCTGTTATTAGAAATAAAATTTCCTTGTGAGAGGCTTAGCACAAAAACACTTTAGTTACCAAAAATTATGGTAGTCCAGAAATATCAAAATTGATCATGTTTATTATAGAAAAACAACCTGAAGATGACGGCTCTCAAGCCTTCATATCAACACAGAATGGATCTCCCCGCCTGAACCGAGCAGACATCCCAGTTAGGCCTGCTCCCCAGGAGGCCTATGATGTTGTCTTGCAACGAAAAGAAAATGAAGGATTTGGCTTTGTCATTCTCACATCCAAAAACAAACCACCTCCAGGAGGTAAGGGCTACTGTATCTTATTGTCTCTCCCTAAAAGTCCAGTTTTCTGAGCCTACCACTGGAGCTTATGAAACTAATTAGGAACTATGTATAATTTGTCTTAGAGACTTATCTTTCTAAGAATGGTGAATATTTATTTTCAAAATTAGGTAATTTGAACCAAACCTTCCAGGCTTCAAGTTTATCTGTCATTTCAGATTCTATAAATAAGTCTCAGTAGCTCAGTTGCGTCAAGATTATATTGAGATGGTATAATTATCAGGGACACGACTAAATGGATTTAATGAAAGAGACAATGCTGAATTTTTTTAAATATGGGGGCATAGGTTTTTAAAATTAGAATAAATAATGTATGCAGAATTGAATTCAATACTAGAAGCAATGGAGAAAAAGCAAAACAGATTAATAGAAAAATCTTGACCCAAATATATCTTAATTATTTCATGTTATTTAATAATAATTGCCATATTCTAGCTATAAAGTGCCCTTTTTAAATGATAAGATACATTTCTATCTTTCATATATGTTTTATTGGAAGGTAAAAATTTTGTCAAACCTTTGAAAATTAAGTTTAACAGAATATGCTCATCTGGGAAGAATGAATATGTGTGTTTGTCTTGTCTTGACGTTCCTAAAAAATAATAATCTTTTAATGTAATTATAGAACCCAACTGAATGTAAGATGAGAGCCAACATATTGGCATTTATGTATTATGCTTATCTAATAACTTTATTTTTCTAAGTCAAGTGATAAAAATCTTTGACCACATGAAATGTGCTCTTGCCTTTGCCAGTGGATTTGATTATATCTTGGATTGTGAAATCATTTTAGATGTTTACTAAAACCTTAGTGGGAGAAAAAACACTTTCAGGAAAGTGTTGTGAGCCAAACCAATTTGCAAAAATCTTGCTAGAATTGATGCAAGTGTGTAAAGGAAGAAGAGTCTGTGACATGGATGAGTTATTGCTGTAGTATTAGGTCACTGCTCACGGATACTAGTTTCCATTTTCCAAAAGCAGTTGCTATGGTAACGCTTGGAACTGGAACTGTCACTGATACTGTGAGGATGATTATGTGGCCTCTGTTAGAAAAATGAGAGGAAAGCAGCTTTTTAGGTGGTTTTCATGTTGTATCATTGGAAATCAGGATTTTGGAAAACAAAAAACCTTTTAGGATAATCATATTGTCATTCTAATACCACACAATAATCCCAGGCATTCAAATTAACAGAAATAGTGAAAGATTATTACTCTAGTTGATAGATGCCAACCACTTTTTGTACTGAAGATATTCCTTTTCTAGCACTACAAAATTAGGGAAGAGTCTGGTGTTCACCATAAACCTAAGTGATATAGAGGAATTCAGTAAAATAAGTTTCATTACTTAAATATGTTTAAACAAATTTTTATATGCATTTAAAATTTTATGGTAGTTTTATATTTATTTGTTTAAATAGTTTTTTACTCTTTTGATTTTACCTGTGTAGATGCTTGATCTCTGTATGAGGTAGTATCCTTAAGTGTTGGGTTTTGTAATCAGACAAACTTGGATTCAAGCCCTGCTTATATCTTTTAATAGCTATCTGATCTTGGGCAAATCACGTACCCTTCCAAGAGCTCCAGTTTCCCCTGTAAAATGAGGATGATGATGACACCCCCTGTCTTATATGAGTATGAGCATTAAAAGAGATAGAGCATGTGAAGAACCTTAGCCCAGACCTTCAGTAAATATTAGCTGCTATTGCTTTGTAGCTTCTGCTGCCATTGTTATCATCATCATTATTATTTAGAAAATTGCCACTGTCTCTCGACTTTTACTTTAAAGAAATTTTTAAAAGTTTATCAATACTTAATAATGAGATGGGAAAGAAAGTCCAATTAAAATGTAAAATTGAGGCAGCAGTTAACATGTGGCAGGAAATGAGTGTTTGCAGCTCATTAATTACCATTCTGAATGATAAATTAGGTTCAGGTTGTTGATGAATTTTATATAAAGTACTTGAGATTTTTGGTCATGCTGCAGAACTAGAATTGATAATTTCAGTGAAATGCTAGTTTAATAATCTCACAAAATGTTGAGTCCTGCAAGTGTTCTTCTCAGAACTCCATTTATAGACAAAATGACGATCTTGGGGCAAGCTTGGATGAGGAGCTTTCACTCACAGAGACTGAGCACTTGCTGCAAATTGAGTGACAGAGGTTTGGTTCAGAAAGCAGTTTGCACAAGGGGAGAGGCAAGACACCTATCTGTCAGAATCAATCATTCTATGTTGACCTTGTTTCAGAACTGTTCCACACAGATTACTTTTTTCTTCTAATTAGATGTATTTTCCAATGATGTATGTCCTAGTAACATCTGTGGTACCAGTTATGGAATTCTGAGATGCTCTACTGTTGATTTTTTTCGAAGATCAGGGATCCAGGTCCAACATACTCATAGCTTGTCTAAGTGCTAAGTGAATGTAGTACTTAGAAAAGGCCTTTATTTAAGAGGAAAAGGACTTGGCTAGTTTTCATTGTGCCAGTACTTCAGAGCTTTTAGTGTTAGTCTTTCTTATCATATAGTTTTCAGTTCTGATTGCAAAGGATTTCTTTGAGAAGGGAACATTTCCAGTTACTGTTATTGCTTTCCCGAAAAGAAATGTTTTAAGAGCAGTAAAGTGATCTCAGCAGCTGGACCAACCAGGCTGTGAGACAGATTTAGGACAAAGATGAATGAAATTGAGTAAGTTGGCTTTATGGCAAATGCCTGTAGACTTTGCATATCAGCAAAACAAGGCAGGACTGCAGGCTTTTCCCTAGCTATGTGTACTCTAAGGGGTTACCTTGAAAAACTCCAGTCCATAAATGCTAAGACATTAACAATCTGACTACTTTTACCTTCCCTTGCCCAGACTACTAACCCTTCAGGAAGTTGTTTACCACCATCTGCCAATTCTTTTTCACCACATTGCTCACATGTTAAGAGAGGAGACCACTGAGACTTCAGAGATTAATTCTGCTTAATGCTTTCCTAAGTCTGAACAAACTCCTTTCAGTGTGCCAAGGAGCTGAATGGTTTTCTTCTCAGGGGATCTCTAATAAACACTATGTGTGAGTAAATCTCTTCCAAGAAGGAGAATAACTGAGGTATTGATTTAGAAGGTGACCACAGGGCCCACTGTATGATCCATCATATGTTTTTGGTGTGCAACCTGTTGTACTATTAGTGAATCAACTCATAATGCCTGGCACAGGACATGGTCCATACTGCAGTGGCATTTCTCTAATTACTTTGTAAAGAAATGGAATAATAAGTGCTTGATATGATTCAGAGCTAAAAGGCACTTCCTTCCAACATTGACTCCTCTATTTTAAGATAAAATCTCCTACTGTATAATCCTAGAAGAGCCAAGGTATTATTTGTAGGGATATAAATTAGGACCAAGAATAACTTTTCCATTCCAAATGAAGGTCTATTATAATATCCCTAACTTAGATATGATTCAGAAAGACTACTAAGGAATGTGTTTTACTATGGCAATTAAACATAATTCACAGTACAATTTAAAAATATTAATTATCCCTATTTATATCAATCAGTAGTCAGCAGGAGCCCAAATACCTGATAAGTTTACTGACCTAGGCTAGGAAATTCTCAGAGAACATAGGAGGAATATTTGTTTCCTGATACAAATGCCCCTTATCGTATAGTAGAAGATACTTTGTTTGGCAAGATTTCCTGAATATCCATAAGGACTCATTTAATCTATAATAATAACAAAGTGTTTTAATAGTTAGTCTAAGAAAGCCCGTAGCATTATGAGCTAGAGATAGCGTAGAGCTGCACAGAGTATCTTTGTAAATGTGTTAGATTCAGCTTTGTGCATTCAGGGTAGAATTTTATCCATGAGCCAAGTAGTCTTAACATTAAACATTTAATGTTCTAATTCTACTCAGCTTTTTGAATCTTAAAAATATCTGAAGGCATAAATAAGAGGAATTAATTTTCACATTGAACTAAATGATTTGTTTTAATGATCAGTCATTTCACTGTACCTGGATTCCTGACCAGTAACTACTAAGTCCTAAACTTGAGTTTGACCTACATTTGTTTACATGGTTTCTTGTGGGAGCAAGTGCCCCTTCAACAAAAGCAAAGATGGTCTCATCGTAGCAGTTTCTAAAATAGCTATCAACTCGATGCAGCCTAACTGGCCAACAATAAACAATAAGACATCTAATCAGTGAGATATTATCAGTATCAGTGAGATCAATGGCCCTTGAACAGAATAATTAGGATGATAATGTAAAAATCGGAAAAAGGGTCTGGTAAGTGGAAACAGTAAAGAGGTTTTTTTTTGGGGGGGGCGCAGTTTGAGACATAATCTCACTCCAGGGTCACCCTAGGTAGAGTGCAGTGGCATCATCATAGCTCACTACAACCTGAAATTCCTGGGTTCCAGTGATCCTCCTGCCTCAGCCTCCTGAGTAGCTGGGACTACAGGTGCACACCACCACGCCTGGATAATTTTTGTATTTTTAGTAGAGACAGGGTCTCACTCTTGCTCAGGAGGGTCTTGAACTCCTGAGCTCAAGCAGTCCTCCCACCTCAGCCTCCCAGAGTGCTAGGATTATAGGCATGAACCACTGTGCCCAGCCAGCAAAGAGGTTTATATACTATGATTACGACTATGTAAATAGTATCTATGCATGTGGGCAAAAAGTGGGAGGTGATATGAAAATAGTTGCATTTGGATAGGATGGTGACATGTCGTGCTTTTTTGCTATATTTTTAAAGAATGTTCCTGGATATTATGTTGAGTTTTTAAATGATAACGATGAAAAATCCAACTCTAGCAGATATCTTAAATAATTGAAAAACCTGGGGTTTTTTTCTCCCATAGTTATTCCTCATAAAATTGGCCGAGTCATAGAAGGAAGTCCAGCTGATCACTGTGGAAAACTGAAAGTTGGAGATCACATCTCTGCAGTTAATGGACAGTCCATTATTGAACTGTCTCATGATAACATTGTTCAGCTGATCAAAGATGCTGGTGTCACCGTCACTCTGACGGTCATTGCTGAAGAAGGTAAGGAATCAATAGACTTGCCTTTCCCAAGCTGATCTGAGGGCCACAGGGCTTCCTCCAACATCGCCAGAATCACTACAGTGATAGAACTATATCTCATTCTTTGTCTTTTCCATTTAATGAACTTAGAAGACAATTAAAGTTGTTAGCAGTTCAAGAAAATAATCCAGCTAGTGAGTAGTGGCCATTTATTTATGTGCTGGAGAATCAAGCACTCAGAAGTAAAGGAGATTGATAATACTTTTCAGATCTTACTTTCTTAAAATAGTGTCTTCAGTCTCTGCTCAAGTGAGAGACAATCCTTTAAACAGTTCAAAGAAAGTCACTGTTGATGTCAAGCCTTTTATGTCAGGCCCATGCCATAGTGTGCCTTTGCTTGGGGGCAGGGCATTGTCCTGGGCAGCTGCTGTATAATTGGAAAAGGCAGTGTGTAGGACTGGCTAGAGAATAGGGCATAAAAAACATACTGGCAGCCCTGGAGTCTCACAAACGTGTTTAACGTCTTGCCTTGTGTTAAATCTGCCTTTTGATCATTAAGAATTTCTAATTAGGAACCATTTTGAACCAGTCCTTCTTCTTTGTTTATGAATGTAACCACTACATAATGCTCTTGTCATTTTTCCAGATTTTGTGTAACTGACAAGAAACCAAAAACAGAATTATGAAGTTTCAGTCTTTTAAGTTAGAATAACTCATATTATAATGTGCATTCATGTTCCATTTTCCACCACAACCCTCTAATCTAATTGGTTTTTAGATCTTTTACACTTCTTGATTCTATCTTTCTTTTCTGTTCCTACTGCATCATTCTCATACGTTTATTTCTAAGGTATTACATAAATTATCTTTCTGTTCAAGATACTGTGGGGTGGTATTTCTGCATGGATATGAGTTCACCTGGTTACTCCCTGAGGCCCTTTCCAGTTCTGGGTAGGAGCACAAGATACTGTGACATCCCAGCCTCTGTTCTTTCCCTTCTCTATTCTGTTCTCACGCTCCTCTGAGACTGCTGATTCTTCCAGAATCCTCCTCCATAGAAACTCCAGTGCCTCCCCACTCTGCACAGAAAGTGTTCTATGATTTTGCTCCCAGCCTGCTGTTTAAATTTACTTCCCAGTATTCTCTCTAGACTCTCTCTTAGTGGGGATTCATTGGCCTCTATGCAGACAGGCTTCCTCCCCGTAACTCCCATAGTACCTCCCATTATGCAGTCCATTAGACAGTATTCCTGTGTTAAGATAAGTGTCTCCTTACTTACATGATTTGCTCTTTTAAGACAAAGAAAATATTGGTCAACTATGATACTTAGTAGGTGCTCAGTAAATACTTTTTGAAGGAATGAATGAATAAACAAACAAGTGAATGAACAAATAAAGTGAAAGTCAGGAAATTTTAGTTCTGAGGCCTCCTGTGCCATTACCTTACCAGAGGCGATATAAACCCTATGGAAGAAATAAGTCTTGACAAGTTCACTGACACCTATTAGCTAGTTGTATGACAAACAGGCTACTCAACATTTTTAATCTTCAGTTTCTTATCTGTAGAATGGGAGTAGTAAGATCTGTTTCAGGATCATGGCAGGGGTTAAAGGTGAAAATGTATATAAGTTACAGAAATACCCTAAGGTGCTCATGTAATGATACCTATCATTATTTTACCTGCATGACTGGCTCCCTCATTCAGGTCTCTGTTTAAATCTCACCTCCTAAGGAAATAATATCAATATTTAATAAGTGCTTACTATGTGACAGGCACCCTCCTAAATACTTGACTTATATTAACTCATTTACTATAGTAATCCTAGGTAGGCACCATTATTTCCCTATTCTTGTAGATGAGGAAACTGAGTCACAGAGCAATTAGATAGATTGCCTGTGGTCATAAAATTAATAAGTAACGGAACCAGTGTTTGATTGAGGCAGTCTGGCTTTAGAACCTGTGCTTTAAACTACTGTGCCAACCATAGTACCTAATAAAACCAACCATAGTACCTAATATAACCCTTCCCTCTGCTTGCTCCAGTGCTCCTCTAATTCCTTACCCTGGTTTACTTCTCTCCATCGCACATATCTCTGAGATTATTGAGTTGTTGTGTTTTTATTGTTCATCTCCCCCACTAGAATGTAAAGTCAGCCAGGCACAGTGGCTCATGCCTGTAGTTTCAGCTACTAAGGAGACTGAGGTTGGATCACTTGAGCCTAGGAATACAAGACTAACCTGGGCAACATAGAAAGACCCCCATCTTTAAAAAGACAAAAAAAAAAGTAAAGTCAGAGATTCATGAAAGTTACATATTTTATCGTGTAAGTGCTCAATAACATTTTTTGAATGTTATTCAAATGGGATTTCAGTCAAATTTCTTTTTCTTTGTTTCTTTGCCATGATCTCTATAGCCTGCATTCTAGCCTTAACATTTGTTCTGTGGCCCACAGAGAAAAGTAGGCCTCTGTGCCACAAGAAATAATATTGTAGGGTTATTCTGACAATGATATATATAGTGCATTTATATCACCATACCTGGCATGCAGTAAGCACTAAGTGATATAGAATAGTCCAGAAATAGCAGAACTAGCAGTAGTACAGATAAGTCAAACCATCTATAGAAAACAATCAGTGTCTTTTTCCCAATTCGTTTAGACCAATATTTTTGTGAAATACAATAAAAATTGAATGAAAAAATTTTTAAATGATAAGATTATTTTGTCAAATTGTTATAAAATTTTCTAAATGCTTGCTCTCAATATCTGTATGTATCTTATTGCCAAATAACAAACCACACTTTAAATACCCTTGGGATAGATAGTTTAATAGGAAAAAGACCAGTTCTTTCTCTTAGTATAATTTTTTTTCAAAATTACTGTTTATTATTGATACTGTTTTCTCTAAGACATTATCCAAAATTGCTCATCATTTTTCTTAAAATAAAAGTTACCTTTGACATTTTGGCCCAGATACTTCTGGACAGACTCTTAAGATTTCCTGTGTAATGTCAGTGTTCAGAGAAGAAATAGAAGGATAGAAAGAAATCCCTAGCAAATATGTCCTTAAAGTATTTTATATACTTATGAGTATATGAAGCACACAGCCTCTTAAAATATAATCACAGTTGATATGTAAAATCACATTTCAGTGATTACACATTATTTTATTATATGTTAGGATTTTTTTTAACTAGAGAAACATTTAGAATCTCTTATTTTTCTTAGGAAAAAAATAGAAAGTCTCCTTTCTGTTCATAAAAATCTCATTCATGGAGTTTCTAAGCCTTCCAAGTTTATCATAGAATTCAATACAAAATCTATCAACTGCACTAAAGAGTCAAATGAATATTTATAGTTCTAAATCTATTTTCAGAAATCACACATTCAGATCAATACCTTAGAGAGTAGCATTGCTTCCCCTCTGATGCTGTCCCCTGCTCTCCATAAGCTATTCACTATTAGTAGGTAAAAAACAATTACCTTAAAAAAACAATACTTATTCCCTCCATCCTTCCCTCCCCCACCCCCTTTACTAGGTACTGTTTAATATTTGTGCCTGTTTTCTAAGGAAATGGCAAGGCAAGTGTCATATCTCATATAAAACTCTCAAACCACAGTCATGACTTAGGACTATCGGTATCTTATAGCATTCCCCACACCACCTCTTCTACCACCATGGTATTGTGTTTTCAAGTATAGAACATAAATTTATTATGTCTGGTAATACCTGCTTACTGTAGAGAAACCTTAAAATTATATTATTTTTCAAGATTGATTTCCAATTATTTTGGTATAAATTTAAGGAGTACAAGTTCTATTTTGTTATATTGGATATATTTGTGTAGTGGTAAAGTCTGGGCTTTGAGTGTATTCATCACTTGAATAATGTACCTTGTACCAATTAAGTAATTTATAACCCATACCCCTTGCCCCACACCCTTCCAAGTCTCCAATGACTGTCATTCCTCACACTCTAGGCCCATGTGCACACGTGATTTAGCTCCCACTTATAATAACATGTGGTATTTGACTTTCTGAGTTGTTTCACTGAAGATAATTGCTTCCAGTTGCATCCACGTTGCTGCAAAAGACATAATTTCATTCTTTCTTATGGCTGAATAGTATTCCATCGTGTATATATTCTACATTTTCTTTATCTAGTCTATTGATGGCTGCTTAGTCTGGTTCTGTATCTTTGCTATTATAAAGAGTGCTGCGACAAACATACACGTGCAGGTATCTTTGATTTATTTTCCTTCAGGTAGATACCCAGTGGTGGGATTGCTGAATCAAATGGTAGTTCTATCAATTTCTAATTTTTTTCAGATCTTGTTTATTTTATTTTTAAGAGTGAATATGAGTTACCAAAAGCTGCCAATGAATCTTCATTTTGCACTTTAATTTCTCTCATTGCACCCACTGGCAACCATTCTAGTATGTTTTATGTGTTCTATTTTATTTTTGTGTCTTTTTATGTATATTTTTTGTTGTGTGTTGGAATTTATTTTTGAGTTATATAAATGTTATAGATTTTGTGCTAGGTTTTTCCTGAGAACCATAGTTGGTTTTTTTTAATGTCTTTTTACTCTTCCAGGACCCAATCCAGGATTCCTCATGATGTTTAGTTGTTATATCTTCTTTTTTCTTTTAAATTGAGATACAATTCACATACTATAATATTCATTATTCTGAAGTATACAATTCAATGTTTTTCAGTATATTCACAAGGTCTTGCAGTCATCACCACTTCTATATTTTATCACCCCCAAAAGAAACTCCATAACGATTAGAAGTCACTTCTCATTCTCTCCAAACCCCCCATCCCTGGAAAACCACTAATCTACTTTCTTTCTGTATGGATTTGCTGGGCACTTCACATAAATGGAATCATGTACTATGTGGCCTTTTGTGTCTGGCTTCTTTCACGTAGTAAAATTTTTTCAAGGTTCATCTATGCTGAAGGATGTATCAATATTTCATTCCTCGATGGACATCTTTTCATGTGCTTATTGACAATTT